ATGATTAATATAAGTCATGAACGAATTGAAAAGATCTACTCCATGTTTTTGTCCATTATTGAGACTGATGACTTGAAATTGGTTGAATTCTTTCTGATAATGTTGATCATACTCTTGATACTGAACTTCATAAATATCAATGTAGATATTGAGCCAGGCACGTTTCGCTTCTTGTATATTTTTAAATTGCTTTTGTTTCAATTCAACTGCTAGTTGATCTTGAACAATCGGCGAATAAAGGTTGGGTCGTATAAAATTATCGATGCGATTGAAATTTGTTGGTAGATATTCCATGGAGACTTGTGTTTCTAATTTTAATAAATCTTCGAAAACATTCAATTGCATTTGTCGGACATTCTTGAGTCGTTCGATGGCTTCTTTCTAATGAAAATGAATTCAATGAAGAGAAACTAAGCGAAGAAAAGCAAATATTATTACCTGATGATCAGTCAGCACATATGCAGATAGAGTTCGTAATAGTTTCTTTTCTTCGATTGTATCTTTGTATCGGATTAATTGAGAGTTGATTTTCTCCTCTATGCACATGATGAACTTATTGGAGGCAATCCAATTTCTTTCTGTATAGAACTTCATACATCTACAGATGGTTCAACAAAGGGGGAGATAAATAATAATAATATTAGTCTTGGAAACAACCATCCCTTATCAACAGCATCAAAGCAAGCGTTGTCGCCCGTCGTCGACACAACGATCACATTCCCGAATCTGATTCGTGATCAACACATATTCAAGACTTTCCAATAAAACTAAATCATGCCTATACAACGCGTATGGCATGACCCTTTCCCTTATGCTTTGTTGTACTAAGTTTAATTTACACATCGTAGAAGAAGTAGCAGTAGAAACCACTTAGAATGTTTTTGATCTATATGACATAATAAAAGAATGTTTCAAATCGGATGTCTTTACAAATTGAACGAAGAAGAGAAAGAACACGACATCAATGATTTTGTTTCATTTCGTTTTTCATTTAGACAACATGTTTTTTCTTGCTTATTGGCTATTTAAAAACTAGAACAATGTTGATTAACTTCTTCTAGATACACATATTCAGATATATTTTTGCCATCGCGCAGTACACTTTGCTTACTGCGGACATGTCAAGCACACGGATCACCCTCAAAAACATGTGTCATACTTCGTTTTCTTGGATGTTTACTTTTGGATAAGTGCTAACCGTGGTCAAATGACACATAATTCGGCGGAAACATCGTCCGAAAACCAAGACAAGGTCTCCCATATCGATCAACTATTGCCATTGCACAACCTCATTAGTAACCAACCATCATCCTCAATCGTACAAAGCGACATATATGATTCCATGTCAAAGACCACAATTTCCACGTTTAGTTCTAAGTGTTTTTGTACTCTCTCTCTCTCTCTCTCTCTCTCTCTCTTCTATTCACATACCGCTGACATAAGTCATCGTGAGTTCTTTATTTTTCTCTTTTACTTTCAGATATTTCAATTCGTTCTTACAACATTATGTCTCAACCACCACAACAACAGCAGCAGCAACAAGTAAGTGGCGTCTTTCTGGTCACACCTACCCAAAAAATAGTTTTTCCTTCGACTTTAGATCGACCATAATGAACAAATCATGTTGCAACAAATGACTCAACTATCTCCTTTTAAACCAACTAATTCAACGGCAAGTTCGGTGACTATGGATATTACCGACGAAGAAAAGGCGATGATTACCATGGATTTTGACTATACTCCTGAGTATCTCTGTGAAACTAATTCTTCACTGGAAGATAAAATTAAATGTATCCTACCAACGACCATTAAACTGGAAGACTTGAGAGAGATTGCTCTTATTACACATAAGATCATGTCTATTGAAATGATTCAATCTCTCTGGGTCATATATTACAAGTCGGGTACAGGTAATCTGCCGATGTCATCATCCATGCCAATGGGAACAACTCAAGTAGATGGCAACATTTGGCCACAAGCAGTTCGATCTATCCTAAAACGGTCACATAGAGTGCATACTAATGAAGATCACGTTTGTTTGACATTTGTTAACTATTGTTTAAATGATTTAAAAATGAAGAATGACCAATATCGACAGGAATTCAATGTTAAAACGGCTCGTCTACGTCATTATTCACGCAGTCTAGAACATGTTATTGAAAAATTTGTAGAGAAAAATCTATATCCTCTACGTATGGAAATGGATGAAAAAATTGCCAGGGTTCAATACGACTATACAGACGAAATATTTCATCGCGCTTACCTCACACAGAAACCAAATGCAAATCAGGCAAGTCGGTTCTCAATTTTTCACTGTCCTCACTCTTCTCTCTATTTTAGATACAAATCATGAAACGTCTATGTCAACTCAAATCGAATCAAGAAATGACCAAACATGAAGTCGATCTGTTGAGATTAAAAATATCGTCACATTTAACTACGCATCTATTTGAATGTGAATCTATCGCATCCTCTGCTTTAATCAATAGCATCACCAACAAGAAACTACAGAAACAATACTACGAACAATACAAAGCTATTGCCGAACAATCACGAACGAAGATGATGAATGATTATATGGAATGTGCCGAAAGTCAAAAACAACAAGCTCAACATTATTACGAAACTGAAATGAAAATCGTGCAAGAATCACAACAGTTAACCTCATCAATGTGGAACATTGTCAAGCAACGCTTAGCTAATATTAATGCACGTGTAGAATGTCTGTACAGATTGAAAACTGAAGTCATTCGTTTTCATCAAGTACATATTCATTAATTTCGTTCTCTCTCTCTCTCTCTCTCTCTCTTTTCTTTGCTAGTCTCATATGATTATCTTTGTTTTTTCCTCTTTCTAAAGATTCTCGTTAATTTTAGATAGATCTCTAGATTTACTTATCATGCATTCACAACGCTCAAACATCCAGCTGAGCAGTCAACCAACTGGCGATATTTTACAGACATTAACGCCGACAATCACAATCGCATCCCATCAGCGTACGACGAAAAACAAGAGGCGACAACGAAAACGATGCTCCGAAAAGCAACGATTGAGACGCTTCAATAAGAAATGCATTCGCAAAGGATTCAACAATGAAGAAAGACAACAACTCATTGCTGCAGATATTCGTGAAAAAAACAATCGCGCAACATATTCTCCGATGTCACATAATCATACTGTTACGACGATGGATGTGATGACAACGACCGAGAAGACCAAAATCAATCGTCGAAAATCGAATAAACGTAAGCGATTGTCGACTCCTGTGAATCAACCATCGGCAAAGAAATCGAAGAAGTTGCACGTGTCTACTACGGTTCTGTCTAAGAAAGAAACGAACAAAAAATTACCGCAGTATTTGAAAAAAGCACCGAATATCCTAGTTCAAAATTTACGCTTGCAATTGAAGAAAAAATTAAACAAATTCACTCATAAACAATTTGTCTACCAACGTCTCCGATTACTCGATCAGCAATATCGTCTTGATCGACATCGAAATCTTTGGCAGTCCTATTTAATCATAGGATCGGAACATCAATTATGGCCGGTAAGTTTCGTTTTTTTCTTCACATAAATTGATGAGAAAAGAAACTAGATGGTATGTATCGTTTCGTTTGTCATTCAATGCAGGCCCAAGTATGTAAATTAACGAAATCGAACGATCATCAGCGATGTCAACAATATGTCATCAGTCGTGTCACTGATCTCAATCAACAATATGATCAATGTACCAGTGAATTGCAGACACAGTCTACATCGTGTCCATTGAAACTTTCCCCATTGGATAAACTTGAGTATGATATAGCAGTTTATGTTGATCNGTGAACATAAAACTCAAGCTTTTGCTCTCGAATTCTGGAAGCAAAAGCACTCAAATTTCCCGATTCTAGCACAAGTTGTTAGGGCTTATTTATCAACGCCCGGTACTAGCATTCCGTCAGAGTCAGCATTTTCTATCTCAGCATAATTCGGACGAAAGGAAAGAGCTCGCTTAAGTCCAGAGAGTTTAAGTTATATTATGTTTCTGAAAGATAAATTGGCATCAGGGTATTGAAATAATTGTTATATGCATCAAGTAGTTTTCCAAATGACTATATTTTTGTAATTGTTATTGTACTATTTAGAATTTTTATTAATCGTCCATGTATATTAACTTGTTTTATTTTTGTCTTTGCTCATATTAGTTTTGTAAATTGAAAATGTATCTTTTCGTGGCGACACATAACAAAACAAAGATCCATTTGTAGCTTAAGTTGAAAATAAATAATTAATTCATTTGGTACAAACATTATTAAACGGGTACTTTGATATTGATTGTTAGCAATGATAGGCATTGAAAAGACATTTAAATATGAGTAGCACGCAGTAGTAGCATAGTGAACATGAAACATCTATTCAAAGCTATACAGATTTTGATGATACTCAAGAATTAAAATGCGTTCATGTATGAGATTTTGATGTATTATTGGTTGGAATTGATCAAAACTAGACTATTACTCTCCATTGAACTCTAATGCAATGTTGATAAAACGTTCATTTCAAAATTAACATCATAACTGAATCACTTCCCGCATGAAAGAATAGCTTCTTCAATGGATTCAGACTATCGTGAACATTTTTAATAATCAGCATATTATGTTGCGACTAATATCAGCGAACTTCAGCTGGTCCAAAATATTAACATACTAATTGACTTATATCTTCTATTCCATGTGATTATCAGACTCTGATAATCAGAGTCTATTGCACGTAGTGAGATCCTTAACATTGAAGCAATTAGGTATATACCTGATTATTTCATTCGGCGGACAAAATGAAAAGTTGAAAAAATAGAAATTTTTCTAGTCCTTTCAACTTGTACCAGATTCGACATATATGACAGACCGTCTCTCAAAAATAGAACTATTACTGCTACTTCCTAGTTTTTCTATGAACTTTATTTATGATTACCAATACCAATACTATTGGTATTGGATAAACTTGACTATGATCTAGCAGTTTATGTTCATCTCCAACAAGACTATTTATCGAAGAAAAGAAACTATTGCGAACTCTATCTACATATGTACTGACTGATCATCAGGTAATATTTGCTTTTCTTAGGTTAATTTCTATTCATTGAATTCATTTTCATTAGAAAGAAGCCATCCAATGACTCAAGAAAGTCCGACAAATGCAATTGAATGTTTTCGAAGATTTATTAAAATTAGAAACACAAGTCTCCATGGAATATCTGCCAACAAATTTCAATCACGTCGATAATTTTAGACGGCCCAACCTTTATTCGCCGATTGTTCAAGATCAACTAGCAGTTGAATTGAAACAAAAGCAATTTAAAAATATACAAGAAGCGAAACGTGCATGGCTCGATATCTACGTAAATATTTATGAAGTTCAGTATCAAGAATATGATCAACATTATCAGAAAGAATTCAACCAATTTCAAGTCATCAGTCTCAATGATGGACAAAAATATGGAGTAGATCTTTTCAATTCGTTCATGACTTATATAAATCATCGAACCGATCGAATAAAACAGGAGATCTATTCAGAAAAAATATTAATCTATCGAAGGAAATTAGTACGCCGCCGCCGTCGTCATCATCATCATCAGGAAGATTTAAGATCGAAAAAGAGTCCGTTCATACGAGTTGCTGCAAAGATTATCATTGATCTTATTCGTCATCCATTTACTACTACTGAAATCAATTATCTTTCGAGGTTGTAACATTCATCAAAACTTATCCTATCAATAACAATTCTTCTTTTTTCTATTTTCATATTCTACTAGGTCCGACTTACATTAGACTAAATCAAAGTTCACTTCGTCCGGCTCATCAACGAGAAAAACAAATTCAACAGTGTCTAACCAAAATTATAGATCGTTTGAAGCAATTCTTCGCCAAAATGGAAAACTATCCAAAAATACCAGTTACATCACCATTGTATAAATTCTATTCTGACCAGCTTCGTACGTATTTCACACATTGCAACATGACGCCATTATCATTAACGGATCAACTACGTGCACGACGAGAACTGAAGCTAGTTAAATCGATTCGACGAAAATTAAAAAAGTACAAACTTGTTCTTCGTAAAACAGACAAAATTAGTGTTTTTCATATTGGCTGTGCTGTGGATTATAAACGAAAGGCAGCTGATTATCCCATAACAACACAAGCATATGAAGAGTTGAATACAAATCCGTTCAATCAAACCATCTACGACGTCACTTATCAACTGAATCAACTGAAAATAGACAGGAAAATATCCGAGTCACAACGACTACAAATGGTACCAAATCGAGCAACAACGGAACTATCGTACATGTATAATCTTCCCAAATCACACAAAGCAATGATCATCTTAAACTCGTTCGTTGTTGTAAGAAAAACCATACACAGACACATCTATTCTGTTTAGAAAGGAACGCCACTTCGACACATCATAAATACAATGCACGGAGCAACAACGAAAATTTCCAGGTTTTTAGACAGATTAATTCGTCCACTATTCGATAAATACGTGCAACACACAACTATCATTGACGGTGCCGATCTTCTAGATAAATTCCAAAAATATATTCGAAATGGTTACTTGAATTCGTCCACACTCTTTGTTAGTTTCGATATTAACAATCTATATACGATGTTACCACAAGAAGAGTCATTAAAGATCCTTGGACAATTCCTCCGTGAACATGAATGTACTCGTTTGAATGGGATTTCGATCGATACTGTTATCGAACTGGCTCGTACGGTACTTCAGAAAAATGTGTTTGTACATGATAATAAATTCTATCGACAAATTGTCGGTGGGGCTATGGGTTCTCCATTTACGTTAACATTAGCAAACATATTCATGTGGTATTGGGAAAAACAATCCATTCTTTCTAATTTACCCTCTCGTTAATTGTATGGCCGGTAAGTTCAACTGAATGCTCGCTTTCAAACATCTACTCTTCTCATTCTTCCGTTCTACATAGATATATTCACGATGTTTTCTTTACTTGGAATGGTTCGAAGCAAAATCTCACGAAAATATTAGATGCCGCTAACAAACTTCATCTGAATATTAAATTAGAATATCATATTAGTAAAAGTCTTCCATTTTT